TTTCCTTTCTTCGGTATTTCAACAATGCCCGTGCGACTCTAATCTGTTCAAGCTCATCACTGATCTCTGACTCTGAGGGAGAACATGTAGTTTCCTTTGTTTCATCCTAACATAATGAAGCCTGATCAGCATATTCAAGAGAATATAAAGCCCTTATTTGAATGAATGATGTATGAGAAGACAAAAATTCACCGATGGTGAAACTAACATGCATAAGTTTATCCAAAGATGAACTCACTCATAATACCGCAAGCTACTTCATTCGAGATATGAAAAAGAGTGATATGACCGCCAATAGCAAGGACCCGGAAAAGTACCCAAGTGGCCCCTTCATACGTTCAAGGGTTAAGGAATTCCAAGCAGCCATGGAGAGCTTGATCATTACAAACTTGGGAGGTGAAGAAGGAGGAACAAAATGGGAGGAACACTTATGCATGAATTTGCATAAGAATTTAAAGTTTCATAAACCATTATTGCATTTAATAAGTGTGTTGATTATTAAAGCATGCATTTTATTTAAGTCTAGTTCATTCAGGGAAGTAGTTCATTTATGCATCTAGTCATTTAATAAATTACTTCATTCATGCATTTAGTTCATTAATAAAGTTGGTTCATTAATTAAACTAGTTCATTCATCAAACTAGTGCATTAATCAAACTAACTCTTAATTATTCCATGCATATTTACGTTTAAAGATTGAATAAAGTTCACCTTTGTGTCTAGGTGCATTCAAGTGGAAGGAAAGCTTGAACCAAATAGGAGACCTTTCATCTTCAACCATGAGACAAACAATTGAGGGCAATCTTAATGCTCCTATTTAAAGCAATTCAAGGCTGAATTCTTTTCATCTTTTCAAGGCTATTCATATTCTTGGAGAGACAATGCATTCAAACCTTCATAATTCACATATTCAAGGCTTATATATCATCCTTTGAAGGCTTTTCACGTTCTAGCAAGAATACAAGTAATAACAAGCATTCAAACCTTGCATTCAAGGCCTTATTATCCCTCTTTGAAGGCTATTCACGTGTAAAGCAATGAAGACTATTTATTTCATCATTTATTACATTCAAGTGTACAAATCAGCAAGGAATAGGAAGAGACAAGGCTGATATGGATGGCAAGGGTGTCTACATACATTCAAGTCCACATTCATTCACTTCTTTCATTCATATGAAGCAAGCAATGGAAGATCAAGAGTCACCCCCTCTTTTGGAATAAAATAAGACTAGATACATTCAAAATTTAGCCCAAATTCATCCAATTTTAATCTACATGGTCGGCTATCAAAGGATAAGAAGAGGGACAATTCATTTAAATGAATTCAAGTGCATTTAAATGATTGTTTTAATTCAATTGTAAAAACCCTTCATATGGTGCCTATCAACACTATAAATGTGCACCTCCATGACATTTGTAAGTAGAACTTCTTTGCATAAAAAAAACTTTGAAAGTTTGCTTTCATTCTAGTTCTTGGATTAGAACTCTATCGGTTTCTTGTCGGTCTTGAAGCCTTCCTCCATTTCCGTCTTGTTATAATATTGGTTCCTAACTCACCTATATCTAGTGGGTCATGTTCCACCCTTTACCACATCGGCTCCACTATAATAAATTGTTGATTCTTAGCTACATATAGCTAACATATCAGAATCCATTTTTTGAAGTTATCATCATCCACGCCCACTATACTCATCCTTTATTATCATCCAATTCATTCCACCACAATCATCATACTCCCAACAGCCCTAAACCACCTCTACTTCAACCACATCCTTTCAATTTCATTCTTTATATGTTTATTTCGTACTTACAACTATATTTGTGCACTTTTCAAAATCATTTCAAGCGCTGCAGAGTTTCTTAATAGAATTACGATCGGGCAACAACGTAAATGACTCGGAATATCAAATCGGGTTCATATTAAAGATTCTAAGAGTTACAACTTAACTAAGATGAAAATAGGAGCACTAAAAAGTGTCATAGTTAGCAGCAACTAATGAATTTTAAGTATCTCAACCACCAACTATACGAAATGATTATAAAAAATGTGTCATACTCGTAGTTATGCAGGGTCTAACAGAAGTTGGAGCCCCAACTTTAATTAGCTAGTTGCCTAGCTCATATTTATAAATTTTACTCTGCCAAACTAACATTTTTGGAATTCTTGTGCGTATCCAAGTCAAAGATTTAATGCACCAACACAGGTTTGAAGAAGGTTGAGTTTGTATGTACTACAAGATGGATTTTAGAAATGAAAACTTTAAAAACCATAGCATGTCTATGTTTGCTCCATTAAGCCTAGAAGAAGAGATACTTCCAATTTTTGGGAGATTCGAATTCCTCATTTGCTAGAGCAACTTTCTTAAAAGAAAACATTGACAACGCCCAACCCAACCCAACCCGTCCTTTCCTATTCTTTCATGTCAAAATAAACCACAAAAGTGGTTGAACTAATTTCAGCTACGATGATTGGTTAACACGGGTCACTCCTTGTGATTCAATGTTTCATTCAAATCAATGATTGTTGACCATTTCACATATTATTAGTATTTCTAATGCACAAGATTTGGGCCAAAATCTCGCTTTGAGAATATGGAATAAAATTTAAGAAAGAATTTAAGAAGTTAGATTTAAGAATAGAGATTCAGAAGAAATACATCTATTTCATTCACAACCTTGATAATTTCTCATTACATTATTTATATGCTTTAGTAGTACACTTTGTCTTTGTCTTTTAGTGCAACTGTAATTCCTTAACAAACTAACGATCATCTTCCTTCCATTGTAGAATCCTTAACGATCATCTTCCTTCCATTGTAGAATCCTTACAAACAATGTGACTCTGTTCCTAGACTGTTTGTCTTCATTGTCTCGTGGCCCATTAGCATAAATTACTTCATCATCGACTTGAAATTAATTCTCAGTACACTTTTTGTATACTATTTGTTTCATTATGTTTTAAGCCTTGCATAATTGTTCTTAAAGTAGCTTGTTCAATTGACCACGTCCCTGTAGTAAGTCTTGTACTGATTGAACTGAAGAGTCAAAAGGTCAGGTTATCAGAGGTGGTTTGTACCCATATAACAACACTTGAAAAGGGGTTATGCCCAATATTGTATGATAGCTGGTATTATACTACCACTCAGCTTGGGGTAGCCACTTAGCCCACTGCTAAGGCTTTAGAAAGCACATGCTGCGAAGATACTGCTCGAGGCGAGAGAACTCTCTCTTTCTCTGTTTTATGGTCACAAAGGAGACCTGTGGCCACCAAATCGAGAAGCAGCTGTCCTAGACGTTGAAAAAAAGCAACCAGGAATCCACTTCTGGATATCTGAAGGACAAGAAGGAAGATGAGTAGATGAGATAACATTAGGTCATCGACGAGATCGCAACCGGGTCGTAGTGAGAGCTTTAGCCAACAGGCGCCGGCTCGAAATGTCACGCTGGGCCGGGTTCAACCTCAGGCTCCCGCCTACCGCACCATCTACTGCAATGATCGCGATGCCAATTTTGTCCATCGGTACAGGGTATTTATATGATTTTTACTTTATTTTGTGATGTCTTTTTCTAGCATTTTGTTACAGTCAGAGGAGATGAGCGGGGAAGAAGAAAAGAAATTGGGGAAATAATTGGGGAAAGTAGTGATCTAGGGTTAGGAATTGAGGCTTGATAGGAAAGTGAAACGGGGAATTTAGGGATTAAAAGAAGAGAAAGGGAAATGAGGCGTTTACCTGATGAAATAGAGTTATGTGATATTGGTTCAGGCGGAAATAGACCAGCCCAAGTCTTCAGAAGGGAATAGTGAAGCAGTCTAGTTTAGTGGCCCAACAACCTGCAAGGAGAGATGATATAATTAATCTGTTATAGGTTGTTATAAGTACAGACAGTTGGATTATTTTTAAATGACAATTGTAGTCCTGTAACTAAATAATAATGCTGTAGAATCACTCTGATTTATCAAGTTATCAATGAACAAGTAATTTCTTCTCTGAATTCTCTCTAAATTTCTCTCTATTTCTCTTATTTATTCTTTGATTTCTCTTCTAATCAACTCAAACCATAACACATTTTCAGTGTGGGATTCCTGTTTGGCGTTTTGGATTTCATGGAAAATGCGAACTGTTGTGAGCTTGAATCCTTTTCAATGTTTATGGCATCGATGCATGGGGGATATAAGTAGGCAAAGTTGTGGGATAATAGAAATACCCCCTACTGCAAGGAACTTTTTCGATGGTAGATGGACAGTACGATCCGCCTGAACAGAACACCTCACCACTACTCAAAACATCAGCCCAAGTATCGGCTCCTCCGCATTTATGATCCGGATTACCAGGAGGTAGTTGATAATTTTATCCGCAAAGGAGTTCTGCTACTGATATTAGTGTATGCTAAAGAATAACAAAGACATGGGTGAAAATGGATCAATGTTTAAAACAAGAATGAACTTACGGGACACTTCGTGTTGAGTTTTGCAAGTGGACAGTAAGAACCCAATGGACAAGCTTCAGTAATGAAGGAAAAACAACTTTCAAAAGCAGCAACTATTTTGAGATTGGCAAACATTAAAACGAAGAAGAAAAAGTTTATGTTTCTTAATTTCTTAGTGACAAAATATCAAACACTTGCATATCATACAAGTGATTCCAGGAGGGCAGAAGAATCCTTCACAACAAGCTGAGCAGTTGAGAACTTGTAAGGCATCACAGAGGCATCTCTTAGATTAACTTTCTGTTTTCTACCAGCACTACAAGCCATCCAGGCTCAAACCCAGAAACCCAAGATGTTAAATTACAGTTCTTATTGGGCTTCAAAAAAGCCGACTTCTTCGTTTCACCTCCACTCTGGTGGAAACTGGTAAAGTAGAATTGATTTCTGCTGCTGTACATATGCGTTTCATCATGTCTGTCAAAAAAAAAAAAAAACCATTCAATTCAATGATCTAAACTTTAGATTTAGCATCTATATATATACATAAAACTTAAATTCTGAACCTTTATCTGTTCTGGCACATTTGGCCAAGAATTTGGGGTTCTTTGAGAAATTGAATGCGCCGTTCCAATCTGCATCCCTACGATCCAAGAAAACGAAAATTTTCATCATGTGTATATAAGAATTTACAAGAAAAGAAAAAAAAAGGAAGAGAATTTTGAAAACATACACATCCGTAATGCAAAAACTAAAATTTTCCTTTATATCGTCCTTCAAGCTAGAAGAAAGATTAGAAAAGCGATCGGAAGCATATTTGGAGAATAATTGATTAGCAGCCGAGCTGTTTCCAAACTTACTAGCGCCATCTTCATCATCGTCTTGACATACAACATGACCAAACAAAGTAGATATCAATATCAAATCATGAAGAAATCTCCATGTTTGGAGCTTGTTTTTGGTCATTTCAATTACTTATTTGCAAAACTGAAAAAAAGGTGGGATTTTATTTATGTACATGAGATGAATCGATGAGAAATTAAACAATCATTTGAGATGAAAGAATGGATATGAAAAAAAAGGAAGAGAATATTTTCTAGGGGAAGAAATGGCAGGGAGAAAAGGGAGGGCGAAATCGTTTATACCGTTAAAACAGGAAGCATATAACCAACAATTTGTGTTCTCTTACAACTCAGAGTCAACCATTGTCTGTGTTCCGTTCACTTATTCTCATTTTGGGTCAAACAAAAACCATATTATAATACGAAAGATTTATTAAACATATGGAGTCACCGGATGAATGCTTCGGAACAAGCATTTGGAATCACCGGAAGAATCTCATCTGTCGCACGGCACCACTTATTTTCTACCATGTCTGATTCCATTTGGACTTTCAAGAGCATAAACATCATCTTCCTTCATCCCTCCCACTTGATTTGTAAATCAAAAACACTTCTCTTTCAAAATGCAAGACATGCAAGCTTGTGCATCCCCTCAAACTTGAGTACTTTCTAAAATGAACCATTTTAGTAATTGATTTAAATAGGTTGTTACATTGGTACGGACTTTGTCCAGTCATACTCGTATAACGACATTCATCTATTCGTACAATTATATAATCATATAACGACGTCAATCTATTCGTGCAACTATATAATCATATGACGACATCCATCTATTCATACAGTTATATACACATACACCGATATTCACTTATTCGTATTATTGTACACCGATATGCACAAGTCAAACAGAAGAAAAATTTGAGAAACTTTGTTATGGGTTAATGTTGAATTGGTACACATAAAAGCTTAAGACTACAGCCTATCAAAGAAAGTTTTTTATTCATCCAAAGTAAGAAGCAACATAATTGTTCACTAAATTCCCTCAAGCTTTCCCTTGTTTGTCATGAGTTGAAGTAACCGACTTGAGAATTGCGATCTCATTAGCATAAAACTCCAAATTAAAATTTGAAACCATGCCAAACTCAAAAGGTGGCAAACCGGGTTCAGCCCCGGAGACGTCCTTGAGCTTACCTTGATCCTGGGAGACAAGTTTTGGGTGAGAAAAGTCCAAAGAAGGTGAATAATCCGATGAAAGCAGAGGATGGGACGGCAGGGTAATGGTGATGCCAGTTCCAGTGGCAGCAATGATGGAAGGCTCGGCCTGACGCAGGAGCCAAGCAATGGTCTCGCCGTCGGTCTTGAGCCCGAGTTCCCGAGTGAGCTGGAAGATCCTAGCGGCACAAATAGGTGACAACCTGATGTCTGTCTCTGCCCTCGACCTTTGCATTACGATCTTTGGAGGAGGAACTGCTGGCCTTGTTTTGAGAAGAGGACCTGGGTTTCTTGGTGGATAAAGCCATCTCCAAATCCATCTTCCTCGACGCCATTGATTGATTTGCTGCAGTTTGAGTTGAGGCCTGAGGGAGGTGGTATATATGGTATGGCCTCTTGTTTCTATGACTTTAGAGTTTGAAGATGAAACCAAAGTATGCAACTTGTCACCAAATATGCACAAAATACCTCCACTTCCCAACTTTGTAACGTTCAAAAGGCCTTTGGATTCTTTACCCTAAATGGATTCTGGGATACGCCTTTTCTTGCTTCCTCCGCATCAACCTGCTATCTCTGAAACACCAATCACACTCCGCCAAATACCAATATTAAATGTTGTTTACTTGTCATTTCAATTATTTAATCACCAAGCATATTTATTTAGTTTAGAATTAAATGTACTTAATACATTTAGTAATTAATACAAATCCTAATTATATATATGCCATTTATTCTTCTCTTTTTTTGTGCTTAAAAATTATTTTTTTACCCGAGAGTCATGATTATCCATTCCAATAAAATTATTTATATAATTCAAACTTATATAGTCATGCCTATCTAGTTCAATTGGTAGAGCATAAGGCTCTTAATTTTGGGGTTGTGGGATCGAGTTTCACGGTGAGCTGGCGTTGGGAGCTGCCTACTATCCTACCTCTCCCTTACCTCATTACATATGAGAATAAGGGTCATCTAATTTTTTTTTTTAAACTTAGATCAGTCTAATACATCTTATCAATGATTAAAGTTGATATTTTATTAATTTTTTTACTATATTAAAATAATCTTATGTAGATATTTATATAGTATATAAGGGATACATCTCAAATTTATGTATTAACTATGATCTAATCTAATGTACTCTACGACATTTGAATATTGGTTTGATGTAACCTTTTTATTTTTATTCAATTATATGATATAAATTTAATTTTAAATTAATTATATATATTAATAAGATAAGTTAATAAATTCAAGTGTTTGGAATGAATATAATTATTTGAAGGTGAATAAATACAAGTGTTTCAATATACGAAGGAGCAAGTCAAACTTGTCAAATATGAGATGACCTTCATTTGACATCAAACTTGTCAAGTCGTTGTGAAAGACTGATTAATGAATAAACTAGTAGAAGAATGCACATAATTCCAGGTGATGGAGTTGATGAAACTGAAACTTAAATTTAATAAAATAGGTTTAGCGTTACTAGAAATGTTGAATTAAATGTAATAGGCTTGGTTGCAAATATTTTAAAATGATTTAAAATGGCTTAACCGGGTTACTTAAGTTGCCGATAAGTATCGATACTTTTTTAAAAATATTGATATTTTCAAAATTTATAACATTTCATATTGCAACTTACTTTTCAGTTAGTAATCAATTTATTTTGTTGTTGTGTGAATGAATAAGGTCACATCAGCTTAAAATATGATAACATTATAAGACACAACCTAAAATGTTAATTATATTAATAAGATTGACGGTTTATAACTTATTTTGTGACCGTTAGAAGGGTAAAATTTTAATTTTCAACCAATATTGTTATATAAACGGATAACTTTTCTAGTTTTTACATAGAACATTTTCTGTTGTAAACCGATTATATCGATACTTTTTCCCTAAAGATCGATATTTTTTTTTAAATTTTAAAAAAAAAGGAAAACGAGAAGGTTGTAAAAGTATCGAACTTTTCACATATATCGATACAGAAAAAAAATTTCAAGTATTTATAGATAATATAATCAGTTTAGGGAAGTAAAAGTCGAAATCAGAGAAGGAGAAAAAGGAGTTTTCGTTTGTGATATTCGTTTTCCATCTGAGCAATAGAAGTCAATACTAAAGAACATAACTGAAATCGCAATTTGAAGAACAAAGAGGTATGTTTGTGAAACCCTAGTTTGTAATTTTTTAATTAATGATTTTGGATTTAGGGATTAGTTTTTTTTTAAGGAAAAACTATAATATAATGGATCGATTATTATTATAGGTTGAATGAATGGAAAATAATCAGGGTTAGTAAAACAACTATAATGTAACATTATAGGTTGAATGAAAAAGATTCGGTTGCAAATAACATTATAGGTTGTATATAATCATTTACTATAATAATCAGTTATGGCTATAATCAGTTATCGAAAATAGTTTCTTGTGCATTTACATAACTGTTTATTACAACAATATTTGCTCACATGTATATTGGATAAGGAATAAGAAGATGACATCACGGGGGAAAGTGTGGGAGGAAAAATATGAATGATATGTCAATTATACTTCGAGAAGAAGATGACTTCGAGGATCAAGAGATTACTGAGACAGAAGCAACCAATGCTTACATATATGCACTTTTAGTAAGTAACCATGTATTTGTGTAATACTTGTTTGAATGGTGGTTATTAATTATAAATATTTAAAAAGTTTATATTGATTAGAAATTTAAAATGTTTACAGTTTGAGTGAATGTCGATGGTTTAAGGGAGATGGCAATGAAAAGATTGGTTGGGTATGTGACTTGAATTGAGAAGGTTATAGAGAAGGAGTATCATAAACATAAACATTATTAATAAAGAAACATTGATTGCATGTGAGAAAAGAATCGTATGTGAAACGGAATTTGATGACCGATGAGGAGAAAAAATCTTATGTAAAATTGTCGAAGAAACATAAAGAAGTATATAATTCATGGAGGAGTTCACAACAAAATAAGATATTCCTTATGCTTTCACGATTAAATAACTAGTTGAACTTGTAACATTTTTTTTGTAAAGGTTGTCTAGAACATAACATCATTTTTTTAAATAAATGTAGAAAGTATTGACAAGATGTAGCTTGATAAGATTACACAAATTGATGTAAGAGTTGAAAAGAAAGGAAAAAAATAAATGTTGTTAAAGAAATAGGATTTAAGACTTTGATTGAAATAACGACACAACCAATTCGTAGGGAGTTGTGTCGGGAGTTGATACAGAATTTTGATATAGAATATCGTATAATTAAGTTTAGTGGATATTCATTTTCTCAGGGGTTTAGAAAGTTATAGATAACCCTATGCCTGATTCGTGAAATAATTAATAACTTGTGATGTCCCAACACCAACGTCTTTCAAAGCAGTTGCTTTTTCTAGATTAGCCTCGACATCAACTATATTTGAACGTAAAAATGGTGTCATAGCATGTGTGCACAATTCATGGAATTTGATGACCGATGAGCACGTTGATGATCAACATTATTTACTTTTGATTTTTGAAACCCTTGTTTTGAACAACAAAATTCTTGTGACTTCACATTGCCTTCCTTATCCAGTCGTGTTGTTCTTCATCGTGCACTAAAACCATGCTTCTTTGTGTATGCTTTATAAAAATCCCAAGCTTGATCATGAGAAGAAAATAGAACCACAAGCAATTTTTCATAAGCATACACACAAACAGATTCTTCACATTTTGTGTTTAAAAAAAACTGTCTGATGCAGTTTGGTCCATTTTTAATCGATATTGGTCCCTATAAACAATAATTTTTTTTTGTTTTCTTCAGTTTAACATGAGTTAAGTTTTCATCTTAGAATGAACTATTGGTTCCTTTTTACATGAACTAGTCACCTGCTGAATTAGGCAGGGAATTATGTCGTGGTTGTTGAAGTTTTACTTCAATATTTATTCGTTAGTTCAATATTTTGTGTGTTCATTTAATACGAAGACAATCCTGTTGTATATTAATTATTGATACAATTAGTCAAAGTATCGGTATAAATATAAATAGTATCGAAACGAATAGAATAAATATCGGTATTTCGTATTTCGAATCTTAATTTTGATATCAGAGTATCGATACTTTTTATGAAAGTTCGATACAAATATATTTGGCTGCTTGTTGATGAATTTGTCCTCATTATGTATCGAAACCTTTTATATTAGTATTGATATTTAATATTTAGAATCTATATTTTGCAATTAAAGTAAGCAGAAAATATCCATACCATTATTATAAAGTGTGATACTTTTTAAAAATGTATCAATATGAATAGCAGAAGTATTAAACCTTTATATTTTGAAGCTTAAATTGAAATTTAAGTTCATTATAGGATATCGATACTTGTAATGGAAAGTCCGATACAATTTATTACGAATGTGTGTGCATAAGATGGTCCTCAAAATGTACCGATACCTTTTTTTTATTAATATACTTTTATAATCAGCATCGAGATTTTTAATTTCAAAAAGTAATTTCAATTTAAGTTTGTAACACCCGGATTTGTATCTCACCCGGATTTGTATCTGACTCAGATACGACTCTGAAGTGTCACATTGATTTTTCAACTATTTGACTCTTTGAAAATTTGACTAAAATTTGACTTTTTTTTGTAGAAAATGAAAACACATTTACAAAACATATCAGAGCATCTACAATGTAAACATTTATAGTACATGCCAACTAAATTTACCATAACAAAAACACATACAATTCAAATCTCTCTCTAATCTAATAATCCTCACCAGTATGATGTCCTGCCCTTGCTCACTCGGTTTGTTCCTCAAATCTCTTTGATCCTACGTGTGAAAACAATCACAAGCTAAGTCTATGACTTAGTGAGGCGTAATGAGTATAATAAAGCAATAAAACATTTATGTACATTTTTCAAAATAATCATTAAGTACCAAAAACACCATACTCTTCATAACTTATAACATATATTATTAAACATTGATTACTTTATATCTATTTGACACTTGATTTTTCATTTCTTTAAAAATATTACATATCGAAACCATAGACATTTCATGAACATTTTATATTGATACTCATTTTTCAATTTATATTAATTTGTTTTATTAGTCTAACGTATATTGCTGAGAACTTAAGGTATGCGAGTACATTGAGGTTGTGCACTAATGCAGTCACCACTACTCAAATAATTTGTACCAAACTATCGCATAGAATTTGCACCAAAGTGCCACGTAGATTTAT